ACATAAACGAATAGATTATCGAACGTTCACGAACGTAAATGAACAAACGAGCCTTTTGTTTGTGTTCATTTATTTAATTAAACGAACATAAAATCTTGTTCATATCTGTTCATTTAATAAATAAATGAACATTAACGAACTTCCCTTCGAACAGTTCACGAACGGCTCACTGAACGTTCGGTTCGTTTATAATCCTAATAGAAAGGATATTTTTGTTTGGATATTTGTTGTTTGAGGCTTATAAATTTAAGAGTTAATTGCATCATATGTCCTCAAATCATGGCCCTCATTTTATATTGGTCCTTAAACTTATAAAATATTCCAAATTTATCCCTAAACTATGACTATCATTCTAAACTAGTCCTCAAAATTTCGAGCATTTCAATTTCATCCCCAAACTATGACCCTCTTTCTAAATTGGTCTCCAAACTTTTTGAACATTCCAATTTCATCCCAAATTCATCCAAATATGTAATTAGTTTCAACCATAGTTTAACCTAAATTTTGTCTTGTTTTCAAACTTGACCTAACGATTTTATTAACAAGGGATACGATTAGTGTAGTTTGGGATAAAATTGGAATGTTCAAAAAGTTTGGGACTAATTTAGAAAGATTGTCATAGTTTGGGGATGAAATTGAAATATTGAAAAGTTTGAAGACTAGTTTAGAATGATAATCATAGTTTAGGGATAAATTTGGAACATTTTAGAAGTTTAAGGACCAAGTTAAAATGAAGTTCATACTTTGAGGACATATGATGCAATTAACTCTTAGTTTAATATAAATTATAAATTAATATGTTTTATTAACGTTTCATGTTACAATTTAAGCAATCGATCGATATTGAACATGTGGCCTAGGGATGGCAAACGGGTACAGTTTCGTGGATTCCGCACCGCATCCGCTTCAATTGGGGCGGGGATGGGTATAATTTTAGCGGGTAGTGGGCGGGTGTGGATTTAGAAAGTGGTACCCGTCGCGGGTGGTGGGCGGGTAATGGGTTTGAGACATTACCAGCCCCGCATCCGACCGCCCAGTTAAATATCCAATAAATTTTGGACCATTATGAATTTAGGTGTAATTTTAGAGACAAATTTATAAATTCTAATATTATATAAGATATAACATGTTGTGCCAAAGAACAAAAACATTATGTGTTTGTCATTTATGTTTCTAGACTTTAATTATGACTTTTATTATGGTGTGTTTATATACTTTAAGATCTATATTAACACTTAACTCATATAATCCTTGGATTATTTTATTATGTTTCTTAATGGACATGTTTTTTTATGTTTGTTGCTTATGTATAACTTAAATTTGTTGTCAGGCGGGTCTAGATGGGTACGTCGCTAGTGGGTAGTGGGTGTGGGGATGGATTTGAGAATGTACCCGCGTGGGCGGGTGTGGATTTGAAAATTTGTACCCATCATGGGTGGTGGGCGGGTGGTGGATTCAAAAATATTAGGTGGGTATGGGGATGGGGATGGGGTATTCGCACCCGACCCGCCCGTTTGCCATCCCTAATGAGGCCCATTGCAAAAAAGTATTACTATATGTTTATCCACTTGATTAAACTAAAATTTTATTAAATGTTTATCAAATTTTTTTTATTTAACTGTACATTACCTGAAAATTATATGATGGACTTACAAAAAACTTAAATAATTTATAACTTGTTTAATCATGGTAATGTTCTCTTAAAGTCATTTGGGAAGTTGAAATTTGCCCAGACCCATAAATCTGCAAAGAATCATGGAATCAATGTTCTTTTGAAGTCGTTTGGGAAGATGAAATCTGCCCAGACCAAAAGACCAGCAAAGAATCATCAAACTTCCTCCAAGTCATGTCAATGATAAACCAAGGGGAACTAGAAATTTATAATAGCGTGGGTTAAAATATTTTTTTTATTTTTCATAAATACAATTTCTTTTAATTGAGGGGATCTGTTAAATTTTCTTTATTTATTTTTTAAAAATATATATTTTTATATATTAATTAAAAATTAAAAATATAAATGGTGGTTCAACCCCTGTATGTCGGAGTGAACTTCTAAATTTTAAGAATGATAAACTTATAAAATTCCAAGGGACAAAAACATATTTTCAATAAAAAATTACATAAAAATTTAAAATATATGATAATTTTAAATTTTCAGTATGTGATTTCTATTACTCGTTCCCTCGATCCATCCCTACTCGAGGCATGCCTTAGAGTGTCTGGATGAGGTTCCATATTTGGAGGAAGAATCATGGAACTTCTTGGAGACAAGAAACACTGCAAAGTTGAGAGGGGAGCAATGAGCAAGATCATTTTCAAGTGCTTATCGAAGCATTAAAGGCAATGGATGATATCAAAGATCAAAGGATCATTACTTTAATAGAATAAATTGGATTGAATGAATAATTTTCATAATGAATTTTTATCGCATCCGATTTTAATTAGTCAACTAATAGGTCAAAATCAGTGTGGTTAAAAAAAACCACTACCTTATATACTTAATTGAGGGTAATGTTTATATGCATGTCATTAGATGAGCTATGATACCTTCTTATATTTCAAATTTCTAGCATCTTTTTCACCGTTCGGATTGTTTGATTTATTTTGTAGGTATACCTAGGAAAATTTGGTTTCATTACCGATGATGTTATTAAAAAATGTTTGCAGAAATAACCTGTAGCCTGTAGCTGGTGAAGACTTTGTGAGGGATGCAACCAGCATGATGAATTTATTGAAACGATTGTATACGGTAATAGATTTAAAAATATTTTTTTAAGATATATATATATATATATATAAATCTATAACTGTATACTATATATATATATATATATATATTGATAATAAAAAAAGTACGTAAGACGAATATAAATAAATTTTAGAATAAACATCATTAATAAAATAAACAACAAAACCATGCATCCTACCGATTGGATAGTCTACTAAAACTGAGGTTGGTTTCATGCATTGCTTCTCCCATGTGTTGAAAGAAATTGGTTTACACAACATGGTTAGTGGAGCATACTTTAAAACTTCCTGCTTGTTTCTGCGTTTCTTTATTTTTCAGTAAGATGAAACTTAATGATAGAGTTGTAAATGAGACGAAATATATAGTGAATTATTTGAAATCGATTAAGTTAAAATTTGATTAATTTTTAAATTGAATAAACTCAACTTGACTCGAATTCTTAATGAGTCGAAGAAAACTACTTGACCCCATAGTGCTTACAGTCGATAGTAGCTTTCCAATAATTGATGGCTTTTGCGAGGAGATGCATTCAGGGTGGTCTACAATGGTGCCTTCTCTCTGTCAGTACGCTACTTCGAGAAAGATGAAAACCATGTACCTGAGGAAGCCGGGGATCATTGCGGTTTGAGCAAGAATAGATGTAAGTAGGGATCTACATTTAATCAAAATTTTAAATTTTTATCTGACTTAATATAATAAAATTGAATTTTTCTTTTGAAACTTTTAGTTTGGATCAAGTCAGCTCATTTTAAGGATAGATTCGATCGAGTTCTAGTTTATAATAACATACATTCGACTTAATTCAGTGACGAATCTAAAAATATTTATGAAAGTAGATAGATGTACAGTAATACAAGACCATTTTGCAAGTAATTGTGTACAAATAAAATTTTGGATGGACATGATCAGTTAAATGAATAATTAACATAAAAAATTCATATTTCATAGTGAGCATTTGTCCATCCTGATTGTATAATACAATCGTCATTGTTTGACCAGACTTGAGAATAATAGTATAATCTAACTTTATATATTTAAAGATAATCTTTATAATACATTTCTCTTTATATATATATATATATATATTTTAAATAGATTCATATTTTATCAGATACACCCACGATAGATTAAGTCAAATGGAATACGAAATTTAACTTGAAAATTAAATCAAATCTCAAATTGAATGATCTTTTAAATTCGATACAAGTCAAATGCTAAATATAGAAGATGCTATATTCAAATCAAATTTGAGTGGACCATGTCATCCATAAATGTAATGGTGAAAATTGCAGGAGAGAGTAAGTGTAAGGGTAAGAATTGTAGCAAGCATAGGGATTAAATGATTTAAGTTTTTATAAGTTTAAACCTATAATTTTGAGATATTAAACGACTTAAATTAAATTAAAAAAAATTTTATACAAATTTGTCAAACTCTTTACTTAGCATAGTGGCTAATCCTTTTGAAAGGGGTCATGAGTTCAAAATACATCTCTATCACTAATAGGATCGAATATATATATATATATATATATATATATATATATATACACGAGGTTTTCACGAGAAAAAATTAATAAAAGATTAAAATATAAAGGGTAAATTACATTGTTCCTCACTCTACTTTACTCTATCTCCTATTTTACTCATCAAACTTTTAATTTTTTTAATTTGTTCATTAAACTTTACAAATTGAATAATTTTGCTCCCTCCCCGTTTTCTCTTTAACGTGGCATATTTTATTATTATTTATATAAATAATTAAAAAAATAAAATAAAAACAGAAGGTGGATCGCTTCGTCTCGATGTCGTGAGTTTGAATTTGACCACCATTTTGTCAAAAGTTGATTTGAAATCCACGATTTGATATTTAAAGTGAGGAAATTGAAATGTTTCAGTCTAAATTCACGGGTTTTGAGACATTTTTGATGAAACAAACATCAAATCCGGACTCAGGGGTGGAGACAAACATACCCATCTCATTTTGGGATCGAACGACCACCATCTACAGCGGTCGACGGTGACCAGAATGAAAAGGACGTGGTGACCGACGGAGAGAAAAGGGAGAAGAGAAGAAAATAGGATAAATTACACCATGAGTCATTAGAAAAAAGGATAAACTACAATATGGGTCATTAAACTTTACTATATTTCATCTTTTACTCACCAAAACGATATTGTTTTAGAGTATATTTGAGTTTTTTATTTTGTTTGTTGGTTGCTTGGTGCAGTGAGCTAAGAGACTTTGGATTTATAGCTCCAATTTGGGAATCACTCCGATCTGTTAATAATTATGAGGGAAGAAGACTCAAATTGGTTCTCCAGATGGGAGGAGGAGCTGCCATCCCCGGAGGAGCTTATGCCTCTTTCCCAATCCCTAATTACTCCTGATCTTGCTCTCGCCTTCGACATTCGCAACCCCAACCATGCCCAACACCAACAGCCTCCTCCTCCTCCGCCTTCCTCGGCTCTACAACCCCCTTCTCAACCCTACTTTTCCGAATTTGCCGCCGATTCCGGGGACCTGGGATCCGAGGCAGCCGGGGATGAGCCCGCGCGCACTCTCAAGCGGCCTCGCCTCGTGTGGACCCCACAGCTCCACAAGAGATTCGTTGACGCCGTGGCTCATTTGGGGATCAAGAACGCCGTCCCCAAGACCATAATGCAGTTAATGAGTGTCGATGGCTTGACGAGAGAAAACGTTGCGAGCCATTTGCAGAAGTATCGCCTTTATTTGAAGAGAATGCAAGGCTTGTCGGGTGGTAGTGGAGGTGGTGCCAACGGCGGATCTGGTGGTGCCGGATTAGGGGCCTCCGCTGATCCAGCGATGGACCATTTGTTTGCAAGCTCACCGGTTCCGCCACACTTTCTTCATCCTGGTCGGGCTAATTCAGAGCATTTCTTACCCTTCGTGCCAGTGCCAGCACTGCAGCATCACCAGCAACAGCAGCAAATACTGGCGGCCGCTGTAGGACATCCTCATTTGCAGTCTCAGTATCATCGGCCACAAATGGGGCTCTACGAGTCATCTCCAAATAGCCAATTCGAGCACCCTTTCTTAGGCAGGCAGACCCAGCAGCCAATGCAAAGGATGAGAGGGATGCCGGGGCATAATCAAGCTCCCGGTAGTTATGTAGAAGATTTGGAATCTGCCAATGGCAATGGTGGAAGGAAGGTTCTTACATTATTTCCTACTGGGGACGATTGATTCAAATCTTTGGTAATTATTGACACCCCATTTTCATCATGCAACTATTCTTCTTTATTTTAGTTAGCCTTTTCTTCAAGTTTCATCATGTAGAGTCTTGGTGGGTAGTTATTCCTATTTCTGGCTTTTTTTTAAGTGATACTGAAGGGGTGCTGGTGACCGGAAATGAACTTCAATTTCTGCATTTCATCTTGAGCTGGTAGGTACTGTAATTGATCTGTTCGTTCTTTTTCACTACACTCTATCGGGTCATTGTTGCAGTGTCAATTCTGCAGGCTTCTAGGTCTGCAATTAAGTTGTTAGTTGCAGTCTGTTTTCTCTGTCAGCTTCTGGTGATGGATTTAATCCTGAGGTCACTCTAACAAACAGTATGTTCTTTAGGCCTATCATGCTTGCAATTACATTGGTCTGCTGGTATAAGTTAATCTGGATTTCTTTGTGGCTGGTTATTGGGAATCATATCAATTAACTTGAACTTTAGAGTCTGCTTGCATGGGAGGTCTTTCAGCCAGCAAGGTGGTTTTGAGGCTACATGACTAAATTTTGAGCTTGAGGTGGGGAAAAAGACATGCTTGACCATTGGTCCCTGGTCAGTTTCTTTGTTTGTTACAATCGGTATTGAGGTTATCAAGTTTCCAAAATTCTCTTCTGTGTTAATCGTCTGTTTTTCTTAGTTCAGTGTTATGTAGAGGTAAGTTGTACATTGTATGACTCCATAGAATGCTTTGGACCTCTGATATGAAGGGCAACTCAGGGATCTCTGACTTTTTTTTTCTCTTTTCTATTTTTTCTTTGTAAGTCTTATCCTAATGAACATTACCTGCATTTCTGAAATATCATAGCATCTTTAACTTTTCGTGTTACTGAATGAAATAAATCTGTGGTGCAAAGTAGAACACTCAGAATTTCTGGTCAATTAATAATGCAGAATTTGTTGGCATACTGTTTAAGCATATTATCTTTGGTCCTCTTTCTCCATCATTTCTGGCTGAAGTATTAAATCCTAGAAGAAAGAAGGCAGTGTTATGGTTGCCTTTATGCGAAAGACAGAAGTCAATAAGTTTCTATTAGTAAGATTTCGAACTGGAACAATTTATTTAGCAAATATTTTACTGCAATTAAAAGTCCATTTTACTTTCCTTAATTATAGTTTCTTATTCTACAAGAACAGAACCATGTGTTACCTTTTAGGGGCAATTATTAGTAATAAGATAAGACAAATTATTCCAATTTATAGAGGTGTAAGACTCTCTTCCTAATGAGTCTAAGATTAGGAGCTCCCTTTGACGAGTTCCATATATAATTTAATTATAGGTTCGTTAAAAGGTATGAGTCCATAGGTAAGGCTTATCAGTTAAATCCATGAATCGTCTAGTGACTCGATCCATAACCTATGACCATAACAACTTAGCATCAGAGCAGTCAATACAGGCGATTTCAATGCAAAAGAGTTTAGGGCTTTGTTACTAATAGTGCAAAAAATTAATGAAACAATAGTAGAAGCCAAGTCATGAATTGTAGTAAGCATCACATAAATCGGATCTAAATTGGGAAATGAATTGCAACAACTGTCACTAAAATTGTAGGCATTTGTTGGTTTTGATCGAAAAAACGAAATAAAGTTTGATGCGAGCACGTGCAACAGTAACCAATACCATTGTAGAATGGATAATAAGACGGAACTGCCGACAGGATTTGAAGTGGTGTCGTGGTACTCAGCTTAATTTTCCAACCTTTGATGGATAAGAGAATTCGTTAATTTGGTTACACCAATGCGAAAATTCTTTTCCAATTAGCAGACAGCTGAATTAGACAAGTTTTGTTTGGTCCTTTTTCAGATGGTGGTGAGGTGCAATATGGTACTGTGAGATGGACGAGAAGGAACCAAATCTCAAGTGGGAAGCATTCAAGGAATGTTGCACTTTGAGATTTGACCCAACCACTATGCAGCAACCTTTTAGATTAACTAGTTAGCTTGAATTAGGCTACAAAGGTTGAGGAGTATCAGTGTCAATTTCAAGGGCTGTTGACATGTGTTAGTACAACGTGAGTGAACCAACTGGTCGAATTTTTTTATATAGGATTAACGGGCTCAATTAGGCTTGATGTGGAGATGCAAAATCCCTTGAACCTTGTGCAGACAATGAATTTGGCACTGGCTTTTGAAAAGAAGCAACAACTATGGAAAGAACTATCAATCAAAACAAGTCTTTCAGTGAATTGCTTAGTGACTGGATTGATAATTCATGACCATAACATAAAGCAAACTAGAGAAAGAATTTTGACGTAAATACTTGTTGCATTGAGAGTAAAGCATTTTGGTAATTAGAAAAGCCATGTAAATTTTGCTGTTTTATTACCCTTTCAGTGCTCTATAGTCTATACCATTGTTTGAATGTTGGAGCTTTTTCATTTCTAGGCCTACTATGCTTTCTTTTCCTTAATAAGTAAGATATCTATCTCATGGTTTAGTGACATTTTGAAATTCCCAACTATGCTTTCTTTTCCTTAATAAGTAGGATCTTTATCTCATGGTTTAGTGAAATTTTGAAATTCTGACCAGAGGCAACTATTTATACAAGCAAGCAGAGCATCAGATCATATACGTCCCCTTGGTTTCTTTAATTTTTCAGAATTGGAGTCTGTTTTCCCACAATGGATTCTATAATATAAGCTTCCTTGCGGTTACATTACCCATCTATTATCTCTAAATTGACCCATCTATTATCTCTAAATTGACTATAGTAGTCGCCTAAGTTTAACCTTGCAATTGATCATGATTGTTTACTTTAGCCTTTAAGTGGCGGCAGCAGTGGTATAATTTGCTGTTACACTCTGATTGCTGTTTATAGGTAATTTGCATGTGCTCTTATCATCTGAAATGTATGTTCTTCGATTTACCATATTTGTATGGTGTTCCTCCTTTTTACATATTTATGTCTGTTCTTCTATTTCTCTAGATAGTTGAATGAACTTCTCTAACAAGGACCTAGTAGGTAAGCATGGCCATTCATCTGTTTAACTGCTAATTAGCCTTGAGCGGTTTTGCCCGGGTAAATATGTCTTGGATTATATCTTTGGGTCATATTGTGGCTGTGATGAAAAATTGCTCTGCTTATATTCCAAATGGGTGAGAACAGAAAAATATCTCCTCTGAGCAACTCAACAATAGCTTTAACATATAACAAATAGTGATCCTTTTGAGCTTTTTGGTGCTTACAACTCTACTAGGACATCTTTGGAGTCAACTTTGGATTATACATCAAGTGATCTTGTGGGCTGCTAGTACCCAAAATTCTATTACTTCCAGAATTCCATCCAAGAGGAATGATAGTTTGATTTTGTAGCTGTGTTTTAACATCTTGCACAGTATGAAAATTGTTCTAGAGGGCATTTGTATTTGATACATTTGATATTGCAGTTGTGATTTGGTGGCAATGTATTGCTAGCTTTTGATGGTAGGGTGATTCAGTGTTCTCTTTTGATAAACAAGATAAGTAGGGGATTTAGTAGTACAAAAGTTTTGTGCTTTTCCCAAATTAGGCTTGCCATAAATGACTTGGAGGTGGAACTTTTAGATTGGGGTTTAGTTTTCTGTTTGATTATTGGAACTGCTAACTGCAGCCAAGTGTAGTCTTCAACCTTCGATTCTAGTTGTTACCGGAGATTAGGAATGCTAATGATTACGATTCTGTTGTTGACTGTTACAGCATGGTCCACGTTAATCTGCATGGTATTATTTGCTTCTACCTGTTAGATTTTAACCACAAAAGGTATTTCAAGAGTAAAGATGGTGGGAACACTGGTGTGTACATAATCGAACTCTCGTACATTAAGGTTATCGACATCTCGTGCACTCTCTCAAGGGATGAAACGGTACATCCTGCCGAGTGCTAAGAACAACAACAACCGCTGTCCTTTCAATCTTTGCATTGGGATTTTGGAGAATGAATGGATGGATGACATTTGAAGTTCTTCTGAAGAGGGTGAGTAAACATTTAATTGATATTTATTTCTTTGAGAAAATGCATGATCCATGGATGCAAAATCTGATCAGGTGAAGAACCAAATTGATGAGCATCATTCATGCAGTCAATTGTTAAATTGGATATTGGGATTATAGTATTTGCAATTCTGTTTCTTACCTAGCCTGAAGCTTGGGGTTCAAGTCAATTAGTTCGTGGTGAGTACGATTGATGATGGAAGAAGATCATAGAAGATGAATGCCTGATAAATTCAGTGAGACTTGTACCCACCTGAACGTGTGAGACCCTCATATGGTATCCTCCGTCCCTTTAAGAATATTTTTGTTACATTCACTTTTATCTTAAAGTTTCGTCAACCTATGATCATGTTCAATTTTCATTATCATACAATGCCCAAAAAAACATATTAAATTAAATAAAAAGTTAAAAAGAATTGAAAACCCTATCCTAATTCCTAACTATATTAATGTAATGAACATTTTATATTAAAGTATAATGTTGGATAATTTGATAAATGATAAATAAATAAATATCAAATTTTTTTTTATAAAAAAAAATCATAAATTATTATAATAAAACGCGAACCACATGAATTATGATGATTGCGCCATCTCTTATTGAAGTAATAAGATCCTGGATTGGCAGAATAATGGTATCCATGATTGCTCCAATATTTTGTTGCGGTTGACTCACTACTATTTATTTGTTTTCAAGGAGGAAAAAAAATGAAAACAACAAGGGTAAACTATATCCACAGTCACCAGACTATTAGTAAGATTACATATTGGTTGTTTAATTTTTAAAAAAAAAATCGTTTTCATCATTGGACTAATCAGTGTGTATTATTTCATTCGTTGCACCGTGTAAATGACACTGGCCATCGTTTTTGCACATATAGTCGAGACAAAAATGTTGTTAAATTCATTATCGCCTTATTTCCATCCCACTCCCTATTGCTCACTCTAAATGATAAATATATTATAAATAAAAATTTTAAAAATAATTTTGATAATAGTTTTGTTGCATATACTACTGATTGAATTCTGGAATTTTTGTACCTGTGATGCATTTAAAAACATTTATAATGTATTTCAGGCATTATTTGTAAAGTTTTTATTTTTTTAATTTATTTGAATTCGAGTTGGAGTTATTTTTTAATTTATCAATTAAATTTTTTTCATGATTTATTATTTCTCTAAAGAAATGATGACAGTTGAAATAATAGAGATGGAAGTTTTTGTTCCCGGTTGACATCCCTAGGCGAGAAAAAAATATATTTTATTTCGTGGTGTTTATTTATTGAATGTTAAATGTTTAAAAATAAAATTAGTAATAAAAATTTTTATTAATATGTCACGTTATTTATATGATGTGAATAATTATTTTATAATTGATGATATAAGTGATGAAAAATAAAATATTTGAAAATAGAATGATTAAAATAAAAAATATAATAATAATAATAATGATGATGATAAATGTTTCTAACATTTGAGTGAATATCCAGTTGGATGGATTTTTTTTTTGTAACATTTTGATCTCAACATTTTATTTTTGGGTAGAAAATCCCTCCGTATATAAAAATCGTTGGTCAACAAACAATTAACACTTAAAAATAAGAGTTACTAAATGAAATGTTGAGCATCAAAATACTTAAAAAATTAAACTAACTATTTAATCAAATTTTATGAGATTTTTACCTTAAAATAAAACAATAGAAATTAAAATATTCAAAGAAAACCAGGAATTGATTCAATCAAATATTAAGATATTGTTTTCATATTATACCAATAAAAAATAGGGTAAAGTACACAAAAGGTCCCCTGACAATAAGGTAGTGATGTATTAAGTTCATTAACTATTGAAAGTTACAAAATGATCTTCTAACTATTTAGTGCTGCTTTATTGAGTCCCTCAACTATTAAAAGTTACAAAATGGTCACCTGACTATTCATTATGTTCCAAACTCATCATTTTTCGTAAAAAATTGACGATATTCTGAGTTGATCATTAACATGTTGATTGCGATATGATGAATTATAATCCAAGAATTCCAAATAACTATCACATCTCATTCATCATATTAACATCAAGCTCAAAAAATTGTCAATTTTTTCTCGAAAAGGATGAGTTTATAATATAATGCATAGTCAGGTGACTATATTGTACCATATAATAGTCGAGGGACTTAACAAAGCAACATTCTATAGTCGAAGGACCATTTCATAACTTTTAATGATCGAGGGACTTAATAAAGTAATACCCTATAATCAGTGGCGAATCCATTGAGGGCTAGGGGACACTTGCCCATCCTGAAATTCGAATTTTCTTCTATTAGTTACTTATTTTATTCATGGTATACACCATGAAATTTTATTATACACACTCTGAAATATGAATTTTCTTTGATTAATGAACTATTTTATTGGTGGTGTCTACCCTGTAATTTTACTTATGCCTACTTCATTCAAAAAATTTATATTGTTAACATATATATGCCCACCTCAAAAGTATTTTTGAATCCGTCACTTCCTATAATCGGGAGACTGTTTGTGTAATTTACCCTTAAAAATAAAACAAAAATGATGATTATTGTAATTGTTTATTTTTCTTAAAAAATGGAAGAAAATGCATGATTCAACTTATTTCAGTAGTTAAATGAATCGTTATTATTCATAGAGATAATGAGTTTAGAACAAAATATTTAGATTAGATAATGTTTTGTAATCACTCTACCTTAAGAAAAATATGTAAAATGTAGAAAAGAAAGGAAAGGAATAATAAGAAAAGCATGAAACAGAGTAGGCATTGGTAAAAGCTGAAAAGAAGAAAACAAAGATCCACCTCGAACCTCCCTCCACTCTGCGTCTTTCTTTCGCTCTCAACGTGAGATTTGCTTCCTCTTATTCTTGTTTTTTTTTTTCAAAGAATAAACAATTTTTTATTACTAATTCCTAAAATATGTGAGTAAATTCTGAAACTCGATAATCTTTTTGTTTGTTGGTTGCTTGGTGCAGTGAGCTAAGAGGCTTTGGATTTACAGCTCCAATTTGGGATTCACTGCTATCTGTAAATAATTATGAGGGAAGAAGACTCAAATTGGTTCTCCAGATGGGAGGAGGAGCTGCCATCCCCGGAGGAGCTTATGCCTCTGTCCCAATCCCTAATTACTCCTGATCTTGCTCTCGCCTTCGACATTCGACCCAACCATGCCCAACACCAACAGCCTCCTCCTTCGCCTTCCTCGGCTCTACTGCCCCCTTCTCAACCCTCCTTGTCCGAATTTGCCGCCGATTCCGGGGACCTGGGATCCGGGGCAGCCGGGGATGAGCCCGCGCGCACACTCAAGCGGCCTCGCCTCGTGTGGACCCCACAGCTCCACAAGAGATTCGTCGACGCTGTGGCTCATTTGGGGATCAAGAATGCTGTCCCCAAGACCATAATGCAGTTGATGAGTGTCGATGGCTTGACGAGAGAAAACGTTGCGAGCCATTTGCAGAAGTATCGCCTTTATTTGAAGAGAATGCAAGGCTTGTCTGGTGGTAGCGGAGGCGGTGCCAACGGAGGATCTGGTGGTGCAGGATTAGGGGCCTCCGCTGATCCAGCGACGGACCATTTGTTTGCAAGTTCACCGGTTCCACCACACTTTCTTCATCCTGGTCGAGCTAATTCAGAGCATTTCTTACCTTTCGTGCCAGTGCCACCACTGCAGCATCACCAACAACAGCAGCAAATGCTGGCGGCTGCGGTAGGGCATCCTCATTTGCAGTCTCAGTATCATCGGCCACAAATGGGGCTGTACGGGTCATCTCCAAATAGTCAATTCGAGCATCCTTTCTTAGGCAGGCAGACGCAGCAACCAATGCGCAGGATGGGAGGGACGCCGGTGCACAATCAAGCTCCCAGTAGTTATGTGGAAGATTTGGAATCTGCCAATGGCAATTGTGGAAAGAAGGTTCTTACATTATTTCCTACTGGGGATGATTGATTCAAAACTTTGGTAATTATTGACACCCTTTCTTCAAATTAGCCTTTCTTCAAGTTTCATCATGTAGAGTCTTGGTGGGTAGTTATTCATATTTCTGGCTTTTTAAAGCTATCATGAGGGGGTGCTGCTGATCGGAAATGAATTTCAATTTCTGAATTTCATCTTGAGCTTGTTGGCACTGTACTTAATTTGTTACGTTTTTTTTACTAGACTCTGCTGATCATTGTTGCAGTGTCAGTTCTTCAGACTTCTAGGTCTGTAAATAAGTTGTCCGTTGCAGACTGTTTTCTCTGTCAGCTTCTTGTGATGGATTTAATCCTGAGCTCACTCTAAGCACCAATATGTTCTTTAGGCCTATCATGCTTGCAATTACATTGGTCTGCTGGTATAAATTAATCTGGATTTCTTTGTGGCTATGGTTGCTGGGAATCGTCTCAATTAACTTAAAATTTAGAGTCTGCTTGCATGGGAGTCCTTTCAGCCAACAAGGTGGTTTTGAGGCTACATGACTAAAATTTGAACTTGAGGTGGGGAAAAAAGACATAATCATCCCTAGTCAGTTTCTTTGTTTATTGCAGTTGGTACTGAGATTCTCAAGTTTCCAAAATTCTCTTCTGTGTTAATCATTTGTTTGTCTTGGTTCAGTTTTATGTAGAGGTAAGTTGTACAATGTTTGACTCTGACCTGTGATATGAAAGACAACTCGAGGATCTCTGACCATCTTTTCATTCTTCTCTGAGTTTTCTTTGTAAAGTCTTATCCTAACGAACATTAGCTGCTTTTCTGAAATTTCACAGCACCTATAACTGTTTCTTGTGTTATTGAATGACACAAATCGCTAGTGTGAAGTAGAACACTCAGCATTTCTGATCAATAAATAATGTAGATTTTGTTGGCGTATTGTTTAAACATATTAGCTTCGGTCTTCTTTCTCAGTTTTTTCTCGCTGAAATATTAGAACCTAGAAAAAAAAAGGCAGTCAATTAAACTATAATCAGTTCTATTTTGTGGTGAAGTATTACGGTTGCCTTTTTGGGCAAGACAGAAGTCAAAGGCGCCCAGAAGGTAAAGTATACTAATAGATTTATATTAGTAATATTTCGAATTAGAATAATTTATTTAGAAAATATTTTATTGCAATCGAAACCCTATGAAACATTTAAGGGGACGATAAGACAAATTATTCCAATTTATAGAGGTTTAAGACTCTCTTCCTAACGAGTCTAAGGTTAGAAGCTCCCCTTGATGAGTTCTATATATTATTCAATTATAGGTTCTTCACAAGGTAGGAATTGATAGGTAAGGTTTATCAATCAAAGCCATGATTCGTCTAGTGGCTCGATCCATAACCTGTGACCCTAACAACTTAACATCAAAGCCAGACACTATGGGCTATTTCAATGCAAAAGAGTTGAGGGCTTTGTTACTAGAAGCGCAAAAAATTAATGAACAAGAGTAGAAGAAGCCAAGTCAGGAATGGTAGCAAGCATCACACAAATCGAGTCTAAATTGGGAAATGAATTGCAACAACTGTCACTACCATTGTAGTCACTTGTTGGTTTCAACTGAAACAGCGAAAGGAAGTTTGATGGGAGCATGAGCAACAATAACACCGTTGACAGGGTTTGAAGTGGTGTTGTGGTACACAGAGCTTGGTTTTCCAACATTTGATGGGTTGGAGGATTAGATAATTTGGTTACGCTGGTGTGATAAATTCTTCTCCAATTAGCAGACAACAGAAATATACACGTTTTGTTTGGTGCTTTTTCACATGTTAGTAAGGTGCAATATGGCACTATCAGATGGAGCCGAAGGAACCGAGTCTCACATGAGAGGCATTCAAGGAATGTTACCCTTTGAGATTTGACCTACCACTATGCTGTAACCATTTTGATCAACTAAGTAACTTGAACTAGACTAGAACTGTTGAGGAGTATCAGCACCAATTTCCAGGGCTGTTGGCACATGGTAGTACAATGTGAGTGAACCAGCAGTTCGAATATTTTAATGCAGGATTAACGGACTCAATGAGGCTTGATGTGGAGATGCAAAATTCCCTGAACCTCTTTTAGGCAATGAACATGGCATGGGCCTTTGAGATGAAGCAACAACTAAAGAAAGAATTATCAATCAAAGTAGGTCTTCCAGTGAATTGCCTTGTGACTTGATCAATAACTTCGACCATAACTTAAAGCAAACTAGAAAAAGAATTTTGGTGTCAATGTTTGTTGCATTGAGAGTGAAGCATTTTTTTAACTAGAGTACACAAGCCATATGAATTGTGCTGTTTTATTACCCTTTCAGTACTCTATTTCATTGTTTAAATGATTGGGCTTTTTCATTTCTAAGCCAACTATGCTTTCTTTTGCTTAATAAGTAGGGACTTTATATCACGGTTTAGTGACATTTTGAAGTTCTGACTATTGGTAAGTATTTATGCAAGTATGCAGATTAGACTATATACGTCCCCTTCATGATTTCTTTAATTTTTCAAAACTGGAGGCTGATTTCCCATAATGGAATCTATGATATGAGCTTCCTTGTGATTACAATACCATAGTTGCATAATGTTCTTCTTTACATTTTTTTCTTTGTTAATTCTTCTAATTCGCTATATAGGTGAATGAACTTTTCTAACAAGGACTGAAGAGGTAAGCACGTCCATTTACCTGTTTAACAGCGTATTAAACTTGACGCTTTTGCCAAGGCAAATGTGCCTGGGATGTTGTCCATATCTTTGGTTCATCTTGTAGCTGTGATGAAAAAAAAATGTTCTGCTTATGTTCCAGATGGGTGAGAACAGAAAAATATCACATCAAGTAACTCAACAATAGCTTCAACATATTACAGATAGTGATCCTTTTGAACTTTTTAGAGCTTACAACTCTGCTAAGACACCTTTGGAGTCAACCCTGGATTATACATCAAGTGGTCTTGTGGGCTAACTATAGTTGAAAATTCTACCACTTTAAGAATTCCATTCAAGAGGAATGATATTTTGATTTTGTAGCAATGTGGTCTCATTCAATATTTCAACATATTGTGCTGAAGTTGATTTGTGTTTGATGATGTATTACCAGGTTTTGATGGTAAGGTGACTGTTTGTGTTCTCTTTTGATAAAGTAGATAAGTTGGGCATTTAGTATTGCTAAAAGGTTTGGATGTCTGTTTGCTTTTCCCAAATTAGGCATGTCATAGATAACTTGGACAAATCGAGTGTGGAACTTTTAGATTTGGCTTTAGTTTTCTATTTAATTAGAAGAGCTACTTACTGCAGTAGAGTAGAGTAGTCGGACCTATGATTTTATGTTAGAGAGTAAATTTATAAAATTTTAGGAATGGCGAAAATAAATTATCAGTAAAAAATACATAGAAAATATCTAAAACGTATGAAAATTTGACTAGTGACCGTTTAGCTGATGATTGTTTGTCTAAATGGAAACTAAACATGGATGTTTGGGCTAAGAAATGTTGCAGGTGATCGTTGTAGCATGGTCCCCATTAACTGTTGGGTTTACTGGTCTGCATAATCGAACTCTAGTACAGTTTGGGATTCATGGCTGGGGTCAGGGTTACCAATATCTGGTTCGCTCTCTCAATGGGTGAAATGGTAGGGTTGAGCAACAAAACCGTAACGTTCAGAGTCTATGGTTCACAAGTTTAAAAATTATGGTTACTTGAACTGAATAAAATTTGATTTTTTTTATTTTATAATTAAATTTAATCATTTTATAATGCAAAAATAAGTTTTTATATTTTAAAATAGTGAAATAACTTATAAATATTATATTTGAAGTATTAATTATCTTTCAGTTAAAAATGATTTTATAAATAAAATTTAGAACTTTACCAAATATTGTTTATAATTCATAAAACGGAGCTATTTTATCAAAATAAAATATAAAATTTTAACACTAGGAGTTAATATGGAAAAATAAAAAAAATCGAGGTTGATTGAATAAAAATTGTTAAATTAATGATTTTTATGGTAACTTACCTATTTGGTACCTCATATATGCTTGTATTTTTGTTTTGATCATCCAACTATTTTTTTATATCACACAATTTACATTTTTTATTTTGACATCTTATCATTAGATTTGATCGTTGATTTAACGAAAATGAAGATGTGGCATGGTATAATAATAATTTGAGGCATCAAAATTACTCATTCTAATATTTTTAATATTTAAAAATTTTATTAATTTGGTCTTCATATTACTTTGAAATAATTTGTTAGTAGTTTAATAATATAATAATAATCTTTAAGGATGTGTGATTAATTTTTAAATTATCAAAGTTTAAGGGCTAATTGTGTGAATGATCTTTTTTATTTAAATTTCATCTATGTCGATCATCTCCACATTCTCCATAGCTCCCACCAACGTCTTCATGTTATCGTTCATCGTTATTTTGTGGTTTGACTTCTTCTTCACTTTTTTTCTGTCTTAAATTTCGCAACCACCCTCTTGTGATAGCGCAACATTGTCATTCATCCGATGATTTCTTTGAACTTCCATCGCAGCTTTGCTTATTACAACCCGACATCCTCCAGCCATCCGTCGTCATTGTTGTTCTTTTGTAAATCAAATACTCTTCGGACACTACTTTTTAGTTATTCTCGTCATTTTTCTCTCTTTCGATTTGTCGATGTCACAGTCGTCGGACGTTTTCTTGCCCAGCTTTCAACTATATGTTGATAATTGACTAGCGGAAATTAATTTTCAAAATTGACGAGGCATGTGACTGAATTTAGTGGTCGTAAGGCTTGAACGATGCATTTAAGGGATCGACGAGGAGTCTACGTGACGGGTGTCGTTTTGCACTTAAAATAAATTCCTTCTTCTTGAATAAAATAAAGGAAATTAAATATAGTATAAGAGAAGTAAGGGTCGATCCCACTGAGATTAAAGAAGACGATGAAATTCATGGCTTTTGATTTTGACATTTGGCGTGAAATTAAGTAAAATAAATAAAATTTGGGGTGGTTGAAGAGAAATGATAAGAAAATTTGATTTAAAGAAAATAAAGAAAGGTAGAATCTTGAGAATTCAATGGATTAATTTAAATCAGCTAGACACATATTCTTTGGATCAACAAAATAGATTTACCCTTCGGGATTCACGTCGGTTACTTTGTCTACAAAGACAGATCCTTGTGACTAACTTGTGTACCAAATATCCAAGTGCAACTCTTATATCTCGGATTTGGAAATTGATCTAATCAACATTAATTGTTGTAGATCAAGAACCGCTTAAGTGCATAAAAACCGACTCAGATAGTTGTTTCCGTACAAATCGTTTTCGATCTCAATTCTCACTTTAGCAACAATTTGCTAGTTGTGTTCCCAGGAAGTTCATTTGCTATCAATTAGTCAATCCTTCCTCTCACATGTTTAATTGCAACAACATTCCAACCATCGACTATCTTAGGTTTTGAAAAATTGTTTTGATTTGAAATAAGTCAAGAAATTGAGAAATGTATCCAAAGTTACTTGTTTTTCAATTATCACATTAGAATTAAGTCATCTCTTAGCCCTCGGCCTAAAAGAAAACTAGTTAAGCATGACCAAATTCATACATAACGTTTTAAAAACAAAGCTTAAAAGAAAATAAATAAAGTAAATAAAAAGAGAAATTTTATAAAGCGAAAAAAAAAGAACAAGAAAGAAATATTTGATTATTGAATGAATGATGAAAAAGGCTTACCTTAGAGGGTATTTATTGCCTTTTAAAATCCTAGATTAAGCATAAGGTAATCCTAAGAAAATTCAAAAGATAATTATTTAAATTTAAATCCTAAAAACAAAAAGATAAATCATAAATCTTGAATTTGAATGTGCTTGAAATGCTCAGTCGTCCATCATCTTCTAGAATCTACTGATTGGACGCGACTGACTGGACCTTCTAGAAGCTACTGACTCACTGTCACGTCAGCATTTCATGCCCACTGTTTCAACCTTGATTCCAGAACAACAAAAATGCAGTTTTCGGCCTTTTTAAGCACATTTTTCAAAAAGTCATTATCATGTACAAAAATCACATAAAAACATCCAAATCAGTAGTAAACATGAACAATCAAAGAAAATTTAAGCACAAAATAAACACTAGTCACTGTGACCAGCTTGGAGAGGTGACCACGCTGTGAAATTAGTGTTGGGAAATATCGAGATTTAATAGATGTTTATTAATTATATTTTAAAATAGTTATTTTTTAAAAAAAATAATGAAACGTTGATGATTAAATTTTTTTATATAGTTTTTATAGTTTTATGTCAGACTAAATTGATATCGGTTTTTAAATTTTAAATATTTATTGAATTAAGATTATTTCGATAGAATATGTAAATTTTAGGGGCTAAAATTGTTACTATCATATCGCATCATCATTTTTTTGTTAAGTCAATGGTCAAACATAATGATGATTAGGTATCAAAATAGCAACAAAATATAATATAAGATATGGTTTTGGAAAAAACAATATTTAGTTGATCAAAACAGAAACGTTAAAATATATAAATTACTTAATAAATAGTTTGTTCAAAAAATTGAAAAATTTAAATGGAACGGTATACACCCCAATCAAAAGGATGCATCCTGCCCGGTGCTAAGAAAATGAATACAATTGGAGAACACATGAAACAGAGTAATGCCTCGTGTCAGTGTTGAAGCAGTTCACGAATTCTCTATTTAGAAGAACTCTCTCTAAAATATTAAGCATTCATCAATGGAGGATGAAAGAAATGAGAAAATGATAGAAAAATAAGAATTATAATAACTAAAATAAAAATGCTCTCCCTTAATCTCATTTTTGACTAAATCATTAATCAAGAACCCATGCTTTCGCTTCTCCTTTAATTCAACCCTTTTCGCTCATTTTACAAATGATATTATCACACAACAAGGCTCTCCCTTCGCCAAGTTTTCAATTTACACCCCAAATCATCACTTTCACCATTTTCTTTACATGGAAGCTTCTTGCTTTTGATTTCCTTTCTCGGCACACTTGCGTGCTTACCTAGGTTTCAGTTGTCCTAAGGGTAAGACAGAGATTACTCCTGTTGGAGTAGCTTAACATTTTTTTTTGCTTCCTTTGACTGATCATTTGATCATTTTCTAGAAGGAAGAGCACTTTTGATTCTTAGTATGGTGTCAAGTTGGATGCTTGTGGTTGTTTTGTTGGGAATTCTAGCTAGGCTTATACGAGTTACAGTAGCAAATTTTAAGGCCTCCCATTGCATCAAATGACGTCGGTGAGAATTTGGAGTTGAGATAAATACCGAGAATGCAGCTAGTCCTGTTGCTTGATTGGTGCATCAACTGGAGGAAAAGACGTGTACACGGACTGAGGGTAGGACTTACGAGGAATAGTAACTAACACAAGGGATCAAGAGATGATGTTAATGGTTGTTAGATAGTATCATTTTACACTAATCTCATTTTAATTGATATATATGTGTGTGTGTGTTTGTGTGTATATATATATTATTCTTGAGATTGTACAGCTATGTTATTTGAATAAATTAAAATATAAACATTACTAATTTATAATCACTGAGTATATTTTTTATTAGAAAATTTAAGTTGATGAACAAACTACAAAAACTGAAGTTGCTCTCACCCATAATCAATGGCAATGACATAATCAATGGCCTGCCACCACTGTGACTTTGACCTGAAAATGCTTCCCGCCACCACCACATTTAATCAAACTATTTACAGTCATTCACTCCAATATGAGAGATGAGGCCACGCCGTTTGCGTTGCTCTCATCCATACAACTCTACTCGCGGCATCACCCGCCTTCAACGTCAGATTATGCGACATAACAAAAAAATAGGCTGTTGTTATACAAGTAATATAATAGCTAATAGGAGTGAAAGTGACCATTGCCATTGCACAATTTGAACACCTGCTGAGGCTGCAAAGGGAAAGGATATCAGCATACATGCACAAAAGTTTACGCAAATTATGGGGGGGGGGGTGAAATCAAGCCAAACTCTAATGATATACAATCAATGTAAGAGAATGCGACGCAGGCATGGAAGTACGTATATGAATTAAATCAATCAGTACAATGATTATTGAACATCTAGAAATGATCATAGAAGTTCGATAAATTGTGAAAATAGCCGAATATGCATACAAATATTAATCAAGCTGATGAACGAACTGTGATATGATTTATGATCATAATCTAAACTGATGTGCAGGCACTACACTAAGATTTAAAAAATATAGCTTTAAATATTCATAAAGCAGGATTCACTCACATAAATATGCGAATGCTGATGGTGAAACGGAGGGTGTTCTGTCAGGATCCTCTTTATTTGATTTACTCTTTGATGGAGGCTCAACATGAGTAAATCCTACATTTGGAAGTGGACTTGAAGTGGGAACCAAATGGGGGATGGCTCTGTGTTTAGGTTTGTGTGCCAATGCTGGTGGGTTTACATTTGGTGAGGCAGCAGAATGGTGAGGAGAAATTTTGGGTGCGACAACAGGGGCCAAATTAGAGTCCTGTCCAGTCTTCCCCTTGGTCCTTCTATTCTTGTACTGGCCACCTGGAGGATTTGCCTCATAATTCTGTGGAGATCCCGATGGAATTCTCTCGGGGGCAGGTGAATAGTCTTCAGGCGCAGGCGCAGGTGCAGGTGCACCTTTCTTTGTTGAAGTAACGGGTGAAACTGCAGGAGCTAGATTAGCACTGTGGTCATGGTGATGGTGGTGATGGTGGTGGTGGTGGTGATCGTGGTGGTGGTGGTGGTGGTGGTGGTGGTGGTGGTGGTGGTGGCGGTGGCGGTGATGGTGATGGTGGTGATGATTGTATTGAGGATGAGGCAAGGGGGCAGGAGACGGGGACCCCGAGTTTGAATTTCCATGAAGAGAATGTTGCAAAATGGATGAAAGACGAACTTGCTTAACCCTACCAAATACAGTGTGGTTCAGGCCAAGGTTTCTTGAATGAGAGCCTGTGATGGTTTGAGCTAGTTGCTTCAATCTTGGCGTTGATGGACTCCCCACAGCCAGTAGAACAGATGACCGAACAATCGTGGGGGAGGTACCCGTGGACCCTTTGGAATTCGACAACCTAAGATACAAGTTCTGAAATTCACAAAATAAAACCATCAGTCTGCACTGTATATCATACAGCAAACAAAACCTATTATAGCAGAATAGCAGAGAACATGCTTTAATCTTTTCTCCAAAAAATCTAAAGCACTAAAACTCAAAAAGAAAGAAAAATAAATAGCAAATCAAAATCAATAGAAAAGATATATTGTCAAACCTCGTATGTGGCTAGATGCAATCCAGCCTTCAGCTGGCTCGTCATTGCATCAAAATTTTCTAGTATTTGAAAAATAGAAAAGTTCAAGGTAAAGTTGAATGGGATTTGCACTTTTTGTAGAAGAAATGCACTTTGCGGAGGAATTATAGTAATTCCTCCAGGGAACTTTTGCACCTCAAATAAGGATGGATCCCCAAACAAGGACTTAGTCAATCGCAGAGGTGGTTCGCCTATAACCAAAGATTCAAATGAAGCCCTTATCAAACTTAGTGCAGTCGAAGATATCTTTGAATATCCTACATCAGGATCAACCCCAAACACAACCCTTGTCATGTTCGATCCGCTTAAAGGTTCGAGAGATAAGATAACCACCTGGTTCAAAAAACTAATCAGTATCTATAAATAGTATGAAGCACATATGTTGAAGCAAAAGGGGTTAAAGTATATACTTTGCTAGTGGGAAAGCCTATCTCATCAAAAATATCATTTTCAAGCTGCAAGAAATTGTCTCTCAGCAAGGAGACTGGCTTCTCAACATTAAAGCTTGCTACTATATGATGACCTGGACAAGTAAAGATTTGTCAGTATAAAAATTTTCAATCTTATCGGCCATCTCCGGCACAAACAGCCATGACAACTACCAAAATGAATGCTACTTGGTCCCAAATCCATAAAATTTGTGTTCCTAGTATATTCATCTATAAAAAAAGATGCAAATGCTACTTTTCTGTCATTCAGAAATTATACAATTCCATGGATATCAACTTTTCAAAGTATCAGTCCTATTTTGCAGAAAGAGAATTGAAGGGAATTTCAGCTCTAAGCCTATTCAAAGATATCATAGAATCTATCCCTTTTTCCTTCCTAAAATAGGTAGTAATACTGACTCTAAAGGTTCTATGCATATTAGTTCATCACGGACTTATTTAAACATTTTACCACTTTCCTACTCCAATTTCCAAATGGTCGAGATAGATAACTAATGCTAAAGCAAAACATTTCCTCACAATAATCAAATAAACCTACTAAAGTGATTCTATACATGAAACTCAAGTTTAAACACAACAGCATCACAGAGAGCCTAGCTTAGTAGCTCTCATATTCATATAGTCGGATGTTAATGTTGAAAACATTTTGATATTTCGATATAACAAACTAAGTTTAAATGAATTTTAAGATTTTACAAATGATTTTCTAAAGTATATTCGATTCAATTAATCGAATATCAAATTATTACTCCAAGTCTTTCAAGATCGTTTCAAACCTTACTAAATGTGTAAAATTGTGTTTTATACTTAAACTATTTTTGAAACAATTTTCACAAAGTATTTTGAACCAAAATCAAGCCTAAAATCAAATTTTCAAAGTGATGCACCGATGCACCAATTCATACATCGATGGACCATGGAATTAATTGAACATCGAATGCATTTTATGCATCGATGCACATACCATGCATCGATGCACTTAGTGCATTTGATGCATCGATGCACTTAGGCTATTTCAAAACATCGAATGCATTGCATGCATCGATGCACTAAGCTTAGGCTATTTCAAAACATCGAATGCATTTCATGCATCGATGCACTCTTAGTGCACCGATGCACTGAAAGTCTAACAGTCAAAATATTTGAATTTTACACTGATGCACCGATGCACCTAGGGTATGCATCGATGCACTGACGCTCCCAACTACTTTAATTAATTGTTTTCACACTTAAACGGCTCTATTGACTCCACTAATCATCCCCAACGTTCAAAATAATTTGAATGTGTATTTAAACAAGTTTAGAAGCCATTGATCAAAAACAAGTAACAACAATTAACAAGAATCAAGAGAGAATCAAAGAGAAAGCATCAAACCTCAAGTTTGAGCATTTCAAGTCTATTTTTCATTCAATATTCATTTTGCTTTCAAGAACACTACTTGTACTCAATTGTATTCATTTTTTAGTGTTATTTTCTTTGTTCTAGAATTGTGCAAACATTTTACCTTGTGAGGATTTTCTTGTAAGTTTGCAAATTTGTAATCTTCTCTTTGAGAAAGAGTGTTCTCAAGAATTGAGGTATATTCTTGAGAGAGTTATAAGATTATCTCTTTGGCCTCAAAAGAAAGAACAAATTAGTGAATTTGTTGAAAAATCCTTAGTGTGGATAGCTAAGGTAGTGGACGTAGACTTTGATTGAGAAAATCGAACCACTCTAAATCGTTGTGCAATTACTTTCAATTTTCTACAAAAGCTTCCACCAAAATTTTAATTGTCAATTCACTCCCTCTTGGCCGATTACGTCGATCGATTAACTCAACAATTAGTATCAGAGCCTAACTCATTTGAAGGTTTAATCGCCTCTTGAGTCTATTCGGGAAGAGTTACATCGATTATCAAGTCATCAATGGCCTCCACTTCAAACTTCGACTCCGGTCTCGATTCAATGCCCGTCAACAAGCCTCCTTTCTTCAATGGTGCTAACTATGCCTATTAGAAGAATAGAATGATGTATTTTATTTAAGCAAGTGACATGGGAGCATGGAATGTTGTAGAAGACGGATATATCAAGCCTCTCACTCATCCAAGATTGTGGAGCGAAGGAGATACGAAAATGTTCCAGCTCAACTCCAAAGCCATACATATTATATTTTGTGCTCTTGGACCAAATGAATATGGAAGAGTTTCATCTTGTACAACCGCCAAAGAAATATGGGATAAACTACAAGTCACTCATGAAGGCACCGACGAGGTAAAAGAATCTAAAATTAGTCTTCTAACACATAGCTATGAAAATTTCAGGATGAAACCATATGAAGATATCAAAGCTATGACGGATAGATTCTCAACGATTGCCAATGGTCTCAAATCATATGGAGAGTTCATTCCAAACGAAAAGCTTGAAAGGAAGTTAGTTTACTCACTTCCAAAATCATGGCAATCCAAGATGACCGCAATCATCGAGGCTAAGAACCTAAAGTGCTTAACTCTTGAAGAGCTAATCGGTTCCCTCCTCACTCATGAAATGATGCTTGAAGATGAGATAGACCTCGATAAGATTGAAGAGACACCAAAGGAGAAGGATAAGAAGAAAAACATTGGAGTTGCTCTCAAATCCACAAAAGAAGAGAGTTATTCGGATGAAGATGACGATAACGAAGAAATGACATTGTTTGCCAAACGGTTCAAAAAAATGATGAGATCTTACCGAGGAAGAAAATTCAAACGAAATGAAAGCATCAAAAATGAACCAAAAGAGAAGGACCCGATCATTTGCTATGAACAAAAAACCGGGACATGTCAAATATGATTGCCCACAATTGAAGAGAAAAGGTCAATCAAAGAATAAGCACAAGGCTCATGTGGCTACATGGAGCGATGAAGAAGGTTCTGATGAAGAGGAACAAGAAGTAGTAAACTTGTGCTTGATGGCATTCGGGGAAGATTCTAAGGTAACCTCTAACTCATCTGAATTTGATGATTTCTTATGATGAGCTATTAGAGGAATATAATGGGTTGGCTTCGGATTATGAGAAATTGTTTTTAAAATATAAAAATGATGTTTCAAAATTGAAAAATGAAAATAAACTCATATCCAAAACCAACAACGATCTTGAAAGTAAAATCAAAGATTTGCAAATCAAACTAGAAGAGTTTGAAAAGAAAAATTCGGATTTGCAAAATTTACTTTCAAAGGTCAATGATGATCATCAAAAGAAAATTGATGATCTTAAAACTTCTTTTGATAAAGTTGGAACAAAACATTTTGAAAAATGAGAAAATTCAAAATCCAACTTTGTTAGAAAAAGTTTTAAAAACTACAATCATAGAGGTCCCCGAAGAACCTCTAATGGAAAAATTGTTAGAAGTATATGGGTTCCTAAAGAACTCATTACTACTAAAGATAAAGATATCCTACACAAATGGATACCTAAGGGGATTAGGATTTTGGAAACTAATGAATATTGACCCAAAAGAATTTGGGTACCAAAAATTAGAAATTAATCTATGTTTGTAGGAAAAGGAGCATTGCTACAAGGCACGGGAATCAAATTCAAACTCATGGTACCTTGAGAGTAGATGCTCAAGACACATGACCGGTGACAAAAACCGGTTCATAGAACTTAACGCCAAAAATGGAGAAATGACTTTTGGTGATAATTCAAAAGGTCACATCGAAGGTATAGGTACTATAGGTAATACCTCTTCCATACAAATTAAAAGTATTTTATATGTGAATGGATTAAAGCATAATCTTTTGAGTATTAGTCAATTATGTGATAAAGGATTCAATGTCATGTTTGAAACTAATGGTTGTAAAATTATTGACATTGCATCTAATCGAATTATGCTTGTTGGTAATAGAATAGGAAACATATACATGGTGCATTTAGACTCTCTATATATGACTAATTTATGCCTAGTTACTAAGGATGAGCATGATAGTTGGTTATGGCATAAGAGACTAAGACATGCTAGTATGAGTGTTTTGCAACGGCTAATTCAAGAAAATTTAGTTCGAGGATTGCCAAAACTTAAATTTGATAATGATAAAATCTGTGATTTTTGTGCTAACGGAAAACAAAAACAAATTTCTTTTAAATCCATTAATGATGTATCAACTAGTAGAGTATTACAATTTATCCATATATATATTTTTGGGCCAACTAGAACTACTAGCTTGAGTGGAAAACAATATGTATTTGTCTTGGTAGATAACTATTCTAGATATACTTGGTTCTATTTTTAAGTACTAAAGATGAAGCATTAAAAAAATTCATCACGTTTTCAAAAGAAATCCAAAATGAAAAAGGTTACCCTATAACTAGTGTTAGGAGTGATCATTGAACTGAATTTGAAAATCTTGGATTTACTGAATTTTGTAATTCTAATAGTATTAGCCATAATTTTTCAGCACCTAAAATCCCTCAACAAAATGGAGTTGTTGAAAGGAAAAATCGAACTTTAGAAGAAATGGCTAGAATCATGCTTTGTGAAAACAATTTGCCAAAATATTTTTGAGCGGAAGCCACAAATACCGCTTGTTATGTTATTAATCGAGTAATGATTAGACATATTTTAAAGAAAACTCCATATGAACTTTTCAAAAATAAAAAGTCTAACATTAGTTATTTTCATCCTTTTGGATATAAATATTTTGTTTTAAACAACGGTAAAGACAATCTTGGCAAATTTGATGCTAAAAGTTATGAAGGAATTTTTCTGGGTTATTCCTTAAATTCTAAAGCTTATCGAGTATTTAATAAAAAAATTTAGTTGTAGAAGAGTATATAAATGTTGTTTTCGATGATAACCTCCTTCCGAGAAAAGATTCTTGTGTGAATGATGATGTAGGTGTTATAAATACAAATGACGTTAGACATGATGTTGGAGAACCATCATCAAAGGAAGAAACGAAAAATGAGGAAACTCATGATCTTCTCGAGAATCTAACCATTGAAGAAATAGAAGTCTCTTACCCAAGGGAATACAACTATGTCAAGGATGGTGAGATTATAGGTGATCCATCTAAAGGGGTAACAACTCGATCTTCTCTTAGAAATATTTATAATTA